TTGAATTATTACGTGCAAATATAAAAGAAAATTATTATCTATTAAAGAAATTACATGTGGATCAAGAAAAACTAGCTGAATTTACCACGAACTTATATAATGATTGTGTACCATTATTATTACGTAACAGCATCTAACTTCAGTCTTCCAACATTTCCTGTTCATTGTTCCTCATTCATTGTTAACTCTGCACTATGTTTCCTATACTCTGTGTAAATTTTTTTCAGCATCTTTAATAATTTTATTGTTCCTGAATAGGTTAACCATATTAACATTGATTTGTTAGGCATGATAAAACATACCAAAAGCGTAGATACAAAAACTGGAAAAATCATGTTTTTGCGTATATTATCTTACGTCTTTACTTTTTTTCGAAATACAGTTAAGTTACTGTCTGTAATCATCTCTCTCCTGCATTTGACTCTCACCGCTCATTATTCGTTGTCTATAGTTTATGTCCTATATTTCATTGTGTCGTCTGACTCTTTTACTGTTCACCTTCTCTTCTATCATTGATACTGGCTCGTATATTTCACTCTCTGACTGTTCATAGTTCAATCTCTCTTTGATTGTTCACACAGGTTATCGTTATTGGTTTGTTCAATATCTAGCACAGACTATCTGCGTAAAATACGCCTACGTGTGTAGATGAGAGAGAGAAAATGAAAGAAAAAAGTTGATAAAAGGATGAAAACACACTCATAACGTAAAACAAAAATGTGTAAGCGAAATGATAATATTAAGCGTTTTGGGAAAAGTAAAAATGAACGAGAATCACATGTAAGATTAGGTTTTTTGTAACACGTATGGGGTTTTCTGCTGAACAACCTCGTTCGCTGTGAAGAAAGAAAAAGTGATCAGTCAGCAGTTTTGATGTTGAGCTCAAGGAACATAGGACGATCTGTAGTGCAGTTAACATTTAAGTATTTAATTGACGATTAAATATTTTAATCCTTTCTGTTTTTAGGCAAATAGTATTCTCTTTTTTGTAGGAAGAGGCGCTTGCAAGACCACCATCGGCATCAACATCGTGTGGGTCTTGCAGGCAGCTCCAACAGGAGCTGCAAGAAGTTCGACAACAACTACAACAAGAACGACAACAACTGCAGCAGCAACTACAACAACAATCACAAGAAATAGCGCGATTTCGTCGTCGTGCTTCTGTCAGTCCTCCGGTCGATCTTCGTCGTCGTTCTCGTTAGCGCACTCGGCGCGTCGTTCTCGTTTACATACTCACCAATAATGCTTTATTTTTGTACTAATTCTTTTTGAAGTGTAAATATCTGTATAGTTTGTTGTTTATATAGTTTAATTCTTCAATTATTTTGAATATAAAGTTTTCTACTTTTCTTTTTATATTTGGATAATTTTTTGTATTAATAAATGATGGTCTTTTTTATAACTAGTTTACTAAGAAAAAGGATGTACGTAAGCGTATGCACTCTTTCCTTATCATCAAATACTTTTCGAGAAGAGCTTCCTATCTATCAGGATTGTTTAAATTATTCTATTCATAATATATCAAGAGGGGTAAACCTCTTGTACTTAGCACTAAGTGTTCTACTTTGAGAAGTGATTACGTAAAAGTTGTCGATATTGAAACTATTGACCATTATCTTTAATAATCTCCGCTATATCGCGCTCAATGAAAACTCTGAATGAATAAAATCCCATAGATAACAAACATTCTTACCCCTCAATCTTGATCCTCCTGAATTAGATGTGACGCTTTTAAATAAGAATAGACCTTTTTATCTACATATTATGTAGTTGTAGATCACATTTGTATATGTAAAACATTTTCTTGAGACCATTCTTCTGTTCTTTTCTCTTTCCTTCTTCTTGCCGTTTGGTTTCGAAACAGACACTAACTTTTTGTTTTCATCGTACATTCGAGCCGTAACAAATAACTGCAGTTAGACTGGATACTGTTTGTGTTTCTGTTTTCTGTACTGTGTATTCAATGTGAAAGGGGTCATGACATTACTTATGTTATTTGCTACAGCTTTATTCACAGTGTTAAGAATAGAGCTGCGACAAATAGCGATTTTCTTTTCTTTTCTTTTTTCTTTTATATTTTCTTTTCTTATTCACGTTATATATAGTGTGTGCTCACGTTGCAATGTACGGTACACATATATAACATACATTAACGTTATACAGATCGCTTTTGGATAATTCATCTCTTAAATGTGTGAGTATCGTCTTTGTTTGTCGTAATAGACTTGCATGTAGGTAATCTATCATAATAGCCGATGGAAGATCTTTTTCGAATAAATTTGATATTATTGAATTTCCATAATGTCCGTAGTAATCGTTAGTCGGGTTGCCCTTCAAAGCAAAACGGTGGAAATCCTGGGGTGAACGTTTCTGTAAAGGACGAGTGTATGGGTATAGCATTTTTCTATCGTGCTCACCTAAACGATAGAACAAACGAAACAAACGATTTAAGAAATTTTTAGTTTTCACTAGACTTAGCTGACTGCTTTATAAATTACCTTGTGTGAAGCAGAAAAAGCAGGCATAGTAACCGGTATGCCCCCTGAAGTTTAAAATCATTGACAAGGCCTGTAAATCTCCAACTAATCCCAAAAATACGACGTTGTAACGAACAGATGAAGAGTGGCCGACCACATCTTTTGTTTCTACTATTAATCCATTGAATTTTAAATCTTCTAATTCTTTAACTATTTCCGTTAGCCATTCAATGACGTTTGGTTTTCCACAACCTACATATGCTGAAAGAAGAATTGTGTTCGTTCTTCTTTTACGTAGCTCCGGACGAAGTTCGACGAGTGATGCGAAAAAACTCCATAAACCAAGTTGAGTAGTCTTGATTAATGGAACTCCATCCAGGTGTAAGAGTAAGGAAATGAATTTGGTTTGACCTAGTATCCTTTTAACATGTTTATAGCGATCCCCGCTGATTATATCGTCAGGAAATTCATTAGCATTCGCTGGAAACCATTCAATTTCTCGTAAATTACGACGAATCATATGCCGAAGAGGTTCTTTAGGTTTTGCGTTAAATATCGTGAAACTGTTAGAAGATTCGTTGAAAGTACGACATGCAGCATTGGTACAAATAGCGTTCTGACCTGCATATGTACAACAGAAAATAACGGCACATATAAGAATTCGAATACTACCTATTAACTCCGGCGTACTGCTGTGATTCAATAACCCTTCGGACCAAAGTAAATTTTCACTCGGAAAATTTTAAAGAGACTTCTCATTTGCACTAAGTTCATTTTAAAAAAAAACGTTTTATTTATTTTCACAGAGTAAACTGGGTCTTTTCGCTTCAAAAGCCTATTAGGCACAATTTCAGAATTTATTCGATCGATATGGATAGAAAATAGTAATCTTTTAAACTATGGAATAGACGTTCGCACATTACTTTTTATTACAAAAGAACAAGCCCATAAAATTTTCTGTTGTTGCCTATGGAAAACTATATTTCAGAATACCTCTGAAAATCAGATATCTGTTAAGGAAAACGGCTCTGACATTTTAAAAATAGCAGAACAATTCATTGCTTTATCAAGTAATAATTGCACTAGCAAGGTCAGGCAAAGATCGAATGATGTAACCACAGAGTAAAGTAAAACAGTAAACACACCTGTGATTTCCTGAAAACAGTTTGAGCATTTGATTATTTTTGTGAATCGAT